CTACACCCTAAACCCTAACCCCCAAGCCCTAAACCCTAAGCCCTAAACCCTACAGCCTAAACCCTAAACCCCAAGCCCTAAACCCTAAACCGCAAGGTTGGAAGGTGGGCCGCTGGAAGATCTGGTCCCGAAGTGAGCGTGGGGCGTACTGAGTAGTGGTTTAGGCTTGGAAGGGTTTAGGGTTTAGGGAAGTCTTCGGGAAGCCCTGACAGGGAGACTCATTGAGGCTCTAGGGTTTACAGAGTTTTGGGGTTAGGGTTTGGGGTTTAGGGTTTTGGATTCAGTGTTTAGGGTTTAGGGTTTGGGGTTTTGGATTTAGTGTTTAGGGTTTAGGGTTTAGGGTTTAGGGTTCAGGGTTCAGGGTTTAGGGTTTAGAGCCCATAGGGTTTAGGGTAAAGGGTGTAGGGTTTAGGATAGGATCAAATCTAAATATTCAGGTTCCAAGAACGGGAGATTTGGCGTCAAGGGTTATCTCATAATATAGAAGCCTAAATAGCAACTGCCTTTTTTGTCCTTAGCTTCCTTACTAGAATTATACGATCAAGGAGCCAAAACCCCTATTCTAATTATTAAGGCCCCTACATTACTACAGGTCCCCAACAATCATTGAAACGGTTTAGGGCCTTAGGGTCCATGGTGGACGGTTTTGGTTGAGGGTGTGGGGTTTAGGGTCCCGGGTTTAGGGTTCAGGGTTTCGAGTTTCTGGTTTCCCGGTCCGTATAAGAGCCCTAAATGCCCGGCTGGGATTCTTATTATTGTAGTACCCTCATAAACGAAACCTTAGAGAAACTCCTGCACAAACCCTCAAAGGAAGCGCATAAACCTGAAAGCCTAAACCGTAGACACATCTTTACCCCTTCCAAGCCCACTTTGAGGACCCCTTATAACCCTAAACCCTAAACCCTAAACCCCTCTTTATAACCCTAAACCCTAAACCCTAAACCCTAAACCCTAGGCCCTAAACCCTAAACCCAAAACCCTAAACCCTAAACCCTAAACCTTCCTGTAGCCACCTATGTTGCTCGCCGCCTTCTTTGGACCCAAAGTGGCCCATTAGGAGCGGGTGGAAAAAACCTACGGCGCATCTTCAAGGGTTTTTCAAGGGTTATTATAAGGGTTACCATAAGGGTGTGGAAAATAATGAAAGGGGTTACCATAGGCGGTTAGAACAATTTTATAAGGGTTACCATCGGGGCTTAGAAAAGAAGTGGTTCGATATATGGGCTTGCATAAGGGTTGTTATATATACCACTCAGACGTGCCCTTCACGGGTCCAGGAGCGTTGAGCTGAAATCCGGATTCATTGTCCCAAAGAGGTCGGACGATTTGGAAATCATATAACCCTAAACCCTAAACCCTACCCTTATATCCCCAAGACACGAAAGACCCCAGGCCAGTGCCTGTTAAGGCACGGTCTAGGGTTTAGGGTTTAGGGTTAAGGCCGTGAGAGTTAGAACAGAAGAGAAAAGGAGAGAGCGCAGCAACTTTCTTCACCACTTAGACTCGGGTTTAGGGGTACCCCCCCCAAAAAAAAAATAAAAATAAAAAAGCAGCCCTATTCCGCTATGTCAGGCTCGAAGAATACTAGGCCCGCAAGCAAGGAGGCTTCGGCTGCCTAAGGGCAGCGCTGGAGGTTTAGGGTGTATGGCACTTTGGGTTCAGGGTTTAGGAGTCTAGGGTTCAGGGTTTTAGGGTTCTCGGGTTTAGGGTTTAGGGTTCAGGGTTTAGGGTTCAGGGTTTAGGGTTCAGGGTTTAGGAGTCTCGGGTTCAGGGTTTAGAGTTTAGGGTCCAAGGCTTCGGGAAGAGCATCCTAGAGCTGAAGCTCCGAGACCCCAAGACCCCAATGAGAGCCAAACCCGAAACCCTCAGGCCGACCACACCAAAAAAAAAGCCGCGGAGTCGTGTCAGGCTCCACGGCGCGATAGGGTTCTCCGAAGGGGCTTTTCAGGCGGACTCTGCAATGACGTCTACAAGGAGTTCTATGTTCTTCGAGGTTTAGGGCCTAGGGCTTGGGGCCTAGTCAACCTTCTAAGCTTTAACCCTAAACCCTAAACCTTCTAAGCTTTAAGAAGTCAGGGCATCTTGCTTGGCTGTATTGACCTCGATCCGTATAGATACGGGTGCGAAGGGTGTGGCAGTGTTCTCAATATGGCTTCCAAGCACCCTTACAGCCTTTGCACGGTTTTCTTAGGTCTTCGGCGGGAAACCGCACCGGGCAGTTATGTTCAGATTGGCCCCAGAACTGTTTAGAGTTTCGGATTGCGGGGTTTAGGTAGATATCGCGTTCGAGGCAATGCCCCTGCCCCTCCAGCCGCGCCTTTCTGCATGGCTTACCTGAAGGCTTGCAGGTCAGCTGCCGTCTCTTTTCATGGTTCCAGGGGATGCTCGAACATCCGGCAGATCGAGGCAACTAGTTCTACGAGCAGAAGGCCTTGGCCTTTGTTTCGGGCATTCCTTGTTAAAGTAGCCGAAGACTATAAACTAGGTAGGCCTTTGGGATATTTTATATTTTCCCTTTATTGGGCTTAAGGGGCTTAAGAGGACCCTATTTACTAATGTTTTCCAGAGGCTTTTAAGGACCAACCAGTAAAGGGGGGGGCACCAAGGAAATATACCTTCGCCGCACTTCGATGCCTAAAGCGAGGAATCAGGAGAATCTGGTCAGTGGCTGGGTTAATTCCCTAAGGGTCCATGTACTCATATAGTATATACATTGGCCTTACTGTAGTTCCTATTTAGGTACTTTAGGGTCTAAGTATATACTATATGGGTACATGGACCCTTAGAGATTGGTTTAGGGCTTTATCGGCTTTCAAAGGTTTTCTTGTTTTCAAGGGTGTTAATCTCAGAGGCATTTGTGGGATTTTTCTCGGAGCTTCTAAACCCTAAACCCTAAACTTAAACCCGACACTCTAAACCCTAAACCCTAAACCCGAAACCCTAACCCTAAACCCCAACCGAAACCCTAAACCCTGTTGCCTTAACCCGTAACCCTAAAACCCTAAGCCCTAAACCCCAAACCCTGCAGCTTTATTGAAGCCAAGGGACCAGAAGCCCAGGTGAAGGCCGTCTTCTGGAAGGACGGCTCTGGCCCGTGCTGCGGGCCACTGCAGGAAGCGGCTCTGTTTTTTCTGGGCTCGGGTTTAGGGTTTTTGGGATTTTTAGGGTTTAGGCTTTAGGGTTTAGGGTTTATAGGGTTTAGGGTTTTTGGGGCTTTTAGGGTTTTTACGGCCCTTTTCCGGGCTTTCAGGGTTGGCTAGGGTTTAGGGCTTTTCCGGTTTTTACTGCCCTTCTTCGGGGTTTCAGGGTTTTTGGGTTAGGGCTTAGGGGCTGTAGAGGCTTTTAGAGCTGCTTCATCCCCCAACCCCTCAGCCCTAAGCCCTTCTGCAGGAAGTGGCGATGCCTGTCGCGTGAGGGCATGGATGGCCAGAGCAGCGGACTGCGGAACGCCACTGGGGGTTACAAGGCCGCGCTTCAGTTCTTTTCCGAAGTGTTAGAGTATGTCTAATTATATAATTACATAATTTTATAATTATATAAGTATATAACTATATAATTATATATTTATATAATTATCTAATTATAAATAAATAAATATACAAATAAATAAATAAATATATATATATATATAAAGGAGTGACGTTTAATTTTGGTATACTAGAGGAGCAGAGTATTCTTAAAGAAGGGCGCAAGAATTGCAGTTTCAGTTGACCTCCAAACAAGCCCAGGTCAAATCAGTGACTATGCTGATCCACGCTTATGCTAAGGCTGCAGATGTAGCAGCCGCGCAGACGACACTGCATGGCATGAAGCGGCAGCAGCTGCATCCCAATGTCCAGGCATTTAACGGTGTTACTGGGTTCCGGAGCATCGTTCTTGATTACTTGTTGGTTTAGATGTCCAAACCTAACCCAGGAAGTACTCTGGAACACAGTCTATTCTTCTGCTTCGGTCTACGAAAGTTTCACAAACCTCCAACCCCATGAGACCCCGTAAAGCCGTTGTTGCTTGCTCTAATATAGCGGCCTAAATAATTACCAATACCATTGTGGGGGCTCATTTATAGTATAATATAGCCCAAAACCATATTCTAAGTATTATAAGGCCCCGAAATTACCGAGGTTATGGCTGCCTGTGCCAGGGTGTCGGACATGGACAGCACGCTGCACTGGCTCAATAGGATGCAGCAGGCGTGTATAGCACCGGATGCTGTCTCCTTCAGAGCCTTGCCGCCTAAGCTTGAAAGTCCTACACCCAAACCCCGAAACCCTAAACCCTAAACCCGAAACCCTAAACCCTAAACCCGAAACCCTAAACCCCAAACCCCAAATCCCAAGCCCAGCCCTGAACCCTAAAGCCTATATAATCCCCACTCGAAGAGCCCTCCAGCTACAACTCCCTGAATCCAGGCTTGGGTGTCGGAGTACTGTGCTTCACAAGAGGCTTTGTGCTGTGGTGCTAGCCTTTTGGGTGTGTCATACCTTCTTGCGTGTTGCTCCTCAGATTCAGAACTACCCGTCTTTCGGGTTTCGAAAAGGAAGACGACATGGTGACAGCGTTAGCACAAGGAAACCACAGCAAGCAACAAAAAGACAACAAAAAGACGACATCAGCTCCCAAAAGTATGCAGAAACAGGACGGGACAATGAGGGATCATCCAACGGAGAGGCCCGAATACTTCGTCATCGAAGCGCTTCATAGACCCTTTATTCACAAAACCCATATAGAGCCCTCAGAGGAACCCTTGCAGGAACCCTCTAGGGAGCCTCTGAAAGGGGGCTCCGACTCCCAGGAACGGTTATTTCGGCCACGGCCCGAGCTGGAAACCTGGCCGTGGCAGAGGAGTGGCTCAAGAGCATGGCTTCCTTCTCCTATCCGGTGGATAAGATACTTGGGCATAGAGTTTTAAGCTCAGTTAACCAACAAGCTGGCTTTGAGCTTTGCTTCCTTCTATATGCGGCCTATATTGAAAAACTTAACCCTAAACTCTAAACCCTTAAGTTTTTGGGCCTTGCAAACGAGGAGACAACCCTGTTTCCCTGAACTCCAAACCCTACAACCTTCATCCCGCACCCAAAACCCTGAAACCCCAAAGCACTAAACCCCAAGCCCTAAACCCTCTCTTTTCTATGTGTGTGTATATATATATATACACATGCATATCTATCCCTATTTCTACATCTATATCTATGTATATATTTGTTGATACAATGAACCCAACACCCTGAGATCCTAGAGCCTGGTACTTTAAGCTCTCAAGTGCAGTCTTCATCACGAAAGCCTTTCAAGCCCATAAATCCCCAAACCGACAAAGCTCTCAACCCTAAACCCCTAAGCCACGAAGCCCCTAAACCCTGAACAACCCTTAACAACCCTAAACAACCCTAAACCCTAGACCCCCTAAACCCCCTAAACCGTCAACAAGCTTTAGAACACCGAGCCTGAGGATCGCTTTCAGCTCGGTCATTGGCGGCTATGCTGCGAAGGGGTCAGCGCAGAAGGCCGAGGACGGTGCACCGAAAGAAGGGGTGAAGGTGGGTTTAGGGTTTAGGGTT